GGGACCGCAATTTCATATAAATACTGTTCTTCTGAACTTTGTGCTCATCTAAGTATCCTGAAAAAAAATGTTCCACAAAGCTAAAGACTGTGGTCATGTGCTGCTGAGAAATCAGCTTTGCCATCACAGGAATACACTACAATATAAAATATAATCAATAAAAAAAAAATTTATTTTACATTGTTTTAATATTTGACAGAATTACTGATTTTGTGGTATTTTTGGTCAAATAAGTGGGCTGGAGAGACGTCTTTTGAACAGTATACCAGTCCTTGAAATAATATCTTCTCCTAAATAATCTAAATAATGTCTCTTTTTGTGTGTTTCAGTGAATGAGATCATAGGCAGAGACATGTCTCAGGCCCCAGAGGCTCATGGGGGCTCGCCAGCTGCACACAGTCAATCCTAGCCCACAACACACCCGTCAGACTCTCAGACAGTCTTCCCAGGACTCCAGAGCCGGGCAACGAGATTCCACCCAAAGCCAGCGTCTGCCCCATAGTCCAAAAACAGCCCTTCCTAATGTAGATCCAGAAGCAATTTGAGCGACAATCATTGCTTCCTCTAGATTCACAAACACAGCTTTGGCTGTAAACGATAACAGCCGGGAGAGTTGGGGTTATATACTGTACGCATGCACACAAAATCAGGTGTACTGTACATATACACATACACAGGCGTGGTTGAGTGGGAGTAAATTTGGATTTGTGGTGTTCTCCTGGAAATGAAACCAATAATTCAGGGCTCTCTGACAGCATGATGTATTATTATCTGTAGCTCGGATTGGCTAGCTATGCAGTCGAGCACCCTCATCCCTGACCGGAATATGCAGTGCACAGCAGCAGTTCTACAGTCACTTTAGTGGGATAGTTGAGGGGTGCTTGAAGCCTGATAGAGGCCAAGTCACGCACGCCGCCTTACCAGCGAAATCTCCCGCCTTTTTCTCTGACAATTCTCCCAGTGCTGCCCCCTAGTGGACGGGCTCTCGGGCGCAGCACTGAGTCTGTAGTAATAACATGCAACATTCCACATGTCTAGTGACCTTTCTGAGCTGTAGATAATCTGTTTAATGATTGGCCCATTTCCTATTCAGGTTGAACAAATGCCTTATGTAGTAGCTGTGATTGTGAACAAGCTTTCTGCTAACAATATACCTATATATTAGTTTGTTTTGTTGTTTTTTTTGAGGAGGAGGATGACACGGTTGAATCCAGTGTGAGTATTTTATACTTAGAAAGTAGCTGAGCTTCATCTTTTGTTCTGGAGTGCTGTGAATCGTGTTGAATCTTACTTTCACTGTTCTTTGCTTTAAAAGTCAAAAGAATTGTTCTCGGACTCTAAAGATAGCATACATGTTTTGTTTATAGTTGCATGGGAAGATGAACTCATGACCGTAGACCAAAAGGTCTGGAGATAATAAAGCTCATGTATATATATATATATATATATATATATATATATATGGGCTTCATGTGCATTGAACTCAAAGACAATAATATGTTGACTATGCTGAGACTCGCTTTGTGCCTTTGATTAGAGAAATGGTTATGCATAAACAATTGCATTGGACAGTTAAAAAAAAAAACATTGCAGGTTTGATGTCAGGGAAATAACTATATTTAATTGATTGATTTGTATTTTTTTTAAAAGGTTGCATCCTGACAATCAACATGTCTTACTATAGAATGACTTGGAAGCCGCTCTCGGGTTTGTATCCCCGCTGCATTCTGGGGCAAAAAGGTTCAAATCCAAACCAGCTTCCAAACCCCTCAGTCCATCTTAGACGATGATAGTGCTCATTTTTGCTCGCAATTAGTTCTCTGTGTGGACAAAAAACAGTGGAGTGAGCAAGTTTCCTCTGTACTTCACTCACTGGGTCAGACACAGAGGACGGACACTGCCAGAGCAGATACCGTTTGAAGCAAACAATTCTTTGAGTTTCTATTGGCTCCTTGCCTTAAATTTTGCCTTTAAATTTTCCTATGAAAACTGGCACAATTCGATTAAGACACTTGTTTTGTTTTTTTCTATTGTTTTTCAGTCTTTGAGACATATAGCTGTAACCATGACTGTTAATTATGTTTGAAAAAGACAAAAAAAAAATATATATATATATATGCTATGCACTATAAACCTGCCTTCAGCCTTTGTAAAAAATAATAATACAAAAAAAGGAAAGCAAACCTTGATGCCTCTAGACTAGATGCTGTAAAGATGCTTCTTCGTAGAGTAGTACGCCAGACAAGAGTTCCGTTTGTCAAGATGTCTGTTCATGCACAAAGCAAGCGTCTTAACGGTTTTGTGCGTATGCGCTTATGTCAGTTTGTATCCAGTGAATTGAAGAGATTTGTTTTGTATCTTAAAAAAGCTCTTTGAATTTGAATGGTGTAAAAGCACACTGATACATTAGGCTATGCAAGGACAGACAATATGATGGGGTGACATTTTCAAACATACAAATAGCAGGTTTGTTTGTTAGTCTTGCATCTATACAGTAAGTATATATATTTTGTTGTATGTAAACCCTTACATATAGTGACAGGTGTTTTCAATGCCACTTTGACTATTTAATTTAAACTATCAAATATACGGTAGGAAAGCCTTAACTTGTGTTAAAATGCAATTTTAGAGAATGTGTGTCATAAGGTTTGAGTTTGATTTAGGTTTAGTGTTTTTTGAGAATCAAGACAAAAATACAAGCAAAAAAAAAAAAAATATATATATATATATATATATATATACATATATATTATGGACGGGGAGTTCTGGGATGAAGCAGGTTCCCTAGATAAGCACCTATTTTCATTCTCTAGAAACCAAAGATCGAACAATGTGTTCCCATTTTACAGACAGATGACAATGCAAACACCAGAACTCTATTTTTGATACTTTGAAATGGATGTCATTCCTAACGTTTGGGTAGCTTGAATTGTTTGTAAAATAAAAGTACAGGTTCAGTTGATGTTTACGGAGCCTTGTATTATCGTTTCATGTACATTTTGTATTTAACATTTTGTAATTTTTAAGACTGCAGTGCTTTTTGAAATTATTCAAAGGGAACACAGTGCGGCATAGGCTCTTCTGAGGTAGTGTATCAATAAAAAGAATAAAATGTCTCTCTTTTTGTCAGTTTGTCATTGTGTTCTGGATTGGTCTTGATGCATCAAGAATGAAATGTTTAGTGAATGGACTGCCCCCAGGATAACCACATACACACTCAATATACACAAAAAAGGTACAAAGCTGTCAGCGGAGTGAAACCCTAAGGTACATCTCTGTACCTTATCCCTAAATAGTTTATATCAGTACCTAAAGGTACATAATACTTTAAAATTACATATTAGTACCTAAAGTGTATATTTTAATATATTTTGAAAGGGGACTGTCCCAGTGACAGTGTTTTTTTAAAACAATCACATCATGCTGCTGATCACCATTGTTTTTTTGGTAACTTTACAATAAGGTTCATTAGTTAACTACTTTAGTTAACATGAACTAAGCATGAACAATACTTCTACAGCATTTATTAATCTTAGTTCATGTTCATTTCAACATTTATTAATGCATTATTAAAATCAAAAGTTGTGCTTGTTCACATTAGTTAATGCACTGTGAATTAACAATGAACTAACAATGAACAACTGTATTTTCAATAACTAACATTAACAAAGATTAATAAATACTGTAATAAATGTATTGTTCATTGTTTGTTCATGTTAGTTAATACATTAACTAATGGAACCTTATTGTAAAGTGTTACCGTTTTTTTTTTTAGTATGAGTAATTATTCCAGGGATGCTTCAATTATAAACTATTGATTTGATTCCGTGTTATAGGGCAGTGTTTCTCAACCGGGGGTATGCGTACCCTTAGTGGTCCGTCACGTAATTGCAGGGGATCCGCTGAATCATTACAAAAATTTTTTTTTGTTATCATAAACTGACACGTTATTTTATTGTATATTGACACTAACCTAAAATTGACTGGTTTTGATAATTATATTAAAGTTCAAGTTACTGTAGGTGTGTTTTATAGTTGCCGCCATTTTTAAACATTCGCGTGAAGAGCTCATAAGGGCTCTTTGGAGAACAGAGCAGCCACTATGAACTAGTAGCTGTCACGATAATTACTACAACTTATCACCACATGATATATGGACATGACCGTGATACGTTTTAGTATATTGCCCATTGTGTTTAAATGGGTGTTTGTTTACATGAAAAGTTAATTTCACCAATATTTTAGCCGATCGCACTGCCTCTTGTCATCTCATCTCTGTGTGTGTGAGAGGTAGAGGTGGGGCTCAGGCTGCTCCACACACACTCTCATATACTCATAATACACAGAGAGAGAGAGACAGCTGACTGTGGAAATGAGGGTGTGCAATTACCCGGGTCTGTCTTTCTCTAGGTCAAGTCATATAATCATGAAAAAACATCAGTTTGCCATCAGCTGTCAGAAGATGAAAGATGTTATCTTTGTCGTAGTATCCTTTCAGCACTTAAGGGGCATTGATCTCTATGAAGTGAAACATCAGCTTCAGTGTTACCCATTTGATGCTCTGATTGTCGATTGAACCTTGTAAAATGGCACTCAAAATTAAATTAATTTCAAAACCTTGTTTCATTCATGAATGAATCAGTTTTTAAGCATATCCATTGAATGAATGGTTTTTAATGATTCTATGGTTCTCAGGCAGGGCCCAATAGGGAGCCTCTATCTCAGTGGTTTTCAATCCTGGTCCTGGGGACCCACCACTCATTTTTAATGGACAGAATTTGTCAAGCGCTAAAATACTTAATCTGGTATAAAGTGTGATTCTATATATATATAGAATTACACTTTATACCCGATATATGCCCTTTTTTTTTAAACCCTGATCCAGTAAATGATGAAAAACATGGAAGTCATATAAAATTGTTGTGGACAATGGGGCACCTTGGAGTCAAGAAGACTGAAGATTAGAGCAGTGGTCTTCAATAACACACAAAGCTGGTCCAAATAATAATAGTCACCACTTTGACATTATGTCAAAGCAATATCAATTTATTTGTCGCATATAAGAGGCACATTTTAAACACACAAACATTTCATACATTTTAGAGGGGAAAAAATGTCCTTTCTTTCACTAGAGAGGTGTGACATTTTGTTCAGCCTTGTATTGCACTCCAGATAATGTGGTCATGGAAAAAAAGAAAAAGAAAAAATGAAGCTCATGATTCAAGCAGTCTAGTAGCAGAAGAAAAGAACAGACGTAGACCGCATTTCCAAAAAATGATAAAGTCCAAAACAAGGTAAGACCTCGGACAGTTCAGTCTGCACATCACTCAAGAGGTCTGACTGGGGGCAACAGAACACACACCTCTATCGATTCAGTTCATCTAAGGAACGAGCATTAATGAACGTAGATTACACAAACAACTCATCTTTTACTTTAAATTAAAAAAAATCACTTTTCGAATGGATTAAACTAAAAATTAGTTCATGCAAGTCTATGGAGTACATACTTGGTCTGACCCTTATTAAATAAGGAAGTCGAAAGGCCAAACAGTGCAGAGGTACACTGGGGAAAACCATCATGCCCTTTTTTAATCCTATGTGCTGCATAACAGTCTTACAGTTTTTTTTTTAAAGCATCTATTTGGCTTCTTGCAATCTCACTGTATTTCAAATCATTCCTTTATCCATAACGGCAAATAAGTATTGCATTGCACTTTGGTTCCCTAGTGGACTGCCCAGCTGGGTTTATAACAGGAAGATCTCTTGATCCATAAACTGATGGCTTGCAATGTTATAAGTTTACTTTAAGTCTTGAATTAGGACAGAAGAGATCTTGACATCAAAAGACACAGGAAGAGTTCAGCATGCATGCCACTGATCTCAATTTCTCTCATACACACACACACACACAAGCAGTGAGGCAGTGCTACTAAGATGGTTAAATGTGTATATAAAAAATATATATATACACAGTGCTTCTGTGTCAGGTCCCCTTCTGCTTTGTGTAGACAACAGTCTTCAGACAACTGTCGGAAAAGCCAAGACAGGTAATGAGGGAGAAAGGGCTAAGACGGGTGAAGTGCGGTCCTCCCTCGGGGGGTGTCGCGGTCAGTGTGTGGTCACTCACAGCAGACCAGGCGGATGGGGTGGCCGGAGAGGGGAACATTGGAGCATTCGGCTACAGCCAGTCTTGCTGCTTTCTCGCTGGGGAAGGTCACCAGTGCCTCCCCACTACGCTGACCACTCCAGTTATACAGCATGAGCACAGAGTCCGCCTGGAGCTACACCAAAAAGAAAGGGGGAATTTTTTTTTTTTTTTTTTACAAAAGCCAAACCACTGGTATGTATTACAATAAGGTCAGAAAAGGTCAAGATCATGCATACACACTGAACTGAATTGCTAGGGAGAGAAAGAGGATTGGAGTTTGGATTAATCAAATCAATCAAATCACCTGAAAATGAATGAGAGTATATACACTTAGGAAACCCTTTTAAAGGCAGGAGACTTGCAGTAAGTTCAGAACAATGATGCTACCCGAACAAGACATTCAAAGCCCAAACCACTTAGATTAGAGAGAAAGAGCATTATATGACATCTGGAAGCTTCTCAAAACAGCAGCACATTGCTCAATAAATCATACTGGGATTGATTATGCAACAAGCAGAGCGTGAAGATTTACAGAAGATATGAAAACAGAAGAGGGTATTAAGGATTCCACTTCTGATTGGAGGTCACCCCAGAGCAGTGGAAGTGAGGGGAGGAGTTAGAGTATTGTCCATGCACAAGCGATGGGTTCAGGTCACAGGGGCTTCATGGGAGCTTACCTGGAGAGGCTCGCCCTACAGACAAAGCCACTCTTTTGGCTGAATCAGACTCCGGCCCTGATCACTCACTCCAAGCAAGCTGCTGTAATCTTCAGGAGCGTACTACAGCACAATGAGCCACAGTCAGTGCCACAGACCTCACGTTACACTCACAACAATCAGCACTTCCCTAAACCATGTTCATACATGTACAGAAGTATGCATTTCTACTAGGGGTGTAAAAAGATGTGCTTTTTTTTTTTTATTAAATGGATGTAAAAAATTATTTTGAAGAAATTAATACTTTTACTCAGAAATGATGCATTCAATTGGTCAAAAGTGACAGTAAAGTCATTTATAACGTTGCAAAAGATTTCCATTTAAAATATATGTTCTTTTGAACTTTCTATTTATTAAAGAATCCTGAAAAAAATATTAAGCAGCACAACTGTTTTACACATTGATAATAAGAAATTGAGTTTCTTGAGCACCAAATCAGCATATTAGAATGATTTCTGAAGGATCATGTGACACTGAAGACTGGAGTAATGATGCTGAAAATTCAGCTTTGCATCACTGGAGTACATTATATTTCACAATAGAAAACAGTCATTTTAAATTCTAACCATTTCACAATATTACCGTTTTTACTGTATTTTTAATCAAATAAATGCAGCCTTGGTGAGCATATCCATTTTTAACAATGGATATTGTGTGTGTTATACACTACCAGTCAAAAGTTAGAATTCATTAAGAGTTATGTTTTTGTAAGTAACCCTTTTAATGTTAAAATGGGTTTTGCTGCTTAATATTTTTGTGTAAGCCATGACACATTTTCAGGATTTTCTTGATTAATAGGAAGTTCAAAAGAACATTTATTTGAAATATAAATATTTTAGAACATTTAAGTGCAAGCGATCAATCTTACTAACATCCAAAAGTTTGGGTTATGATTTCCACAATAACATTAAAAAGCAAAAACCTGAATTAAATCATTATCAGATCACATATGTTCACACCCCTATGTCTACTGCATGTTTGAAAATGTAAAAAACTACAAGTAAATGAAGGAAAGAGTATTGAGCATACTAAATGTAGTTCATTTGCAAGGCTCTTCAAACAGATCTGAAGTGCAGTGCGTTATCATAACCTAAGAGGTGACACCAGTGTATGTCCAAACATATGCATTTAACACACCACCCCAATACACTGTACAGCAGAAATAAAAAGTATGCATCATACTGGGTTGCACATAAGATGTCCAAGCATGAATGCACTATAGATATGGAAAGAAAGAGGGGGTCCAGACCACCTGCCAAAAAAGAAACACTTCCCGCACACAGAGGCCCGTAGTGTGCATTTTGTATCAGAGGTTAAAAGCACACTTGGAGGGTGGACTGGGCTCGGATCCATTTCATCAGTTCAGCCAGGAGTCAAACCTGAACTCGGCATTTGACACACGCGCCACTGTGCTACGCTTTGTGAACAGTGTTAGACGCACAGCTCAGAGCGTCACACGCCTTAGAGGAGAGGGCAGGGGTGCTGCATGCTGAGCACAGTTTTACCAACCCCACCACACAACAGAAAATAAACTAGAATATCTAGAAAATCTCCATGGCTATACATTTATATATTTTGAGAGAAAGTACACACAGACCCGTGCCCAAAACAAAGCATCACTCATTTCCATCTAACTCAACCCTCTTTCCTCCTCCTCCGAGTGCTGGTGTCATACCATCCTCTGACGTCTCCACCTAATCGGGTGTCAGCTAATGAGAGGAAAAAATGTACATAATGATTCAGCATAAAAAAAACAAGAAAGCACCAGGTTCCTGATAAAATCTCAGGTGAGAGGTGTGCTGCTCAGGAAACCCTTTTTTTTTTTTTTTTTTTTTTTTCTTGTTTTTGAACTCGAGAACCTGAATGAGTGAGTAGTGGAAATGAGGAGTCAGTCACCTGATATCCCTGAAAGAAGCCGAGGATGTCTTTGACCCCCGTGTTGTATGGCAGACCCTGCATTCGCACCAGTGCTCCGGGCTGAGGGGGGAGGATGGAAGGGGCAGGCTGGGCGGCCACAGCTGCTGCTACTGAACCCGGCGGGGCCGCAAAATAACTCACCGTGGAGGGAGAGACCGGTGGACTAGTCAACAGAGAGAGACGAGACGAGTTTGAGAGGAAAAAAAGGTTTTCCATAATAGAAAATAGACGCATTAACAAATCATATTATAACATGGATTATACATCCTGAATGGAGGAGTACATTTGAAGCAATTGTAATACAGCTGATTGTCTTGACCACATGTTTCAATAAGACTTATGAAGCAAACAACCATTCAAAAGTTTGGAATTGCGAAGTCTTTTTAACTCATGGTCACCAAGGAACATTGATTTGCTAAAAAAAAAAAAAAATTCAGTACAAACAGTTATATGGAAAGATATATTACAATTTAAAATAAATGTTTTCTATTTTAATATTTTGTAAAATGTATTTTATTCCTGTGTTGGTAAAGCTGAATTTTCAGCATTCATTACTCCAGTCTTCACTGTTACATGATCCTTCAGAAATCATTCTAATATGCTGATCAAGGAACATTTATTATTATCATTAAAAACAGTTGTGCGGTTTAATCATCTTGTGGAAATAGCTGATACTTTTCCACAGGATTCTTTGATGAACACAAAGTTCAAAATAGCAGGAATTTTTTTTTTTTTAAATAGACTGAAATTTTAACACCTACAATGGTAGTGTATATTACTTGCTGAAACCATAGTTATTGTGATCGTGGTGATTATTATTATTAATGTTATTATTACTAATACATGTCTATACTGAACATTGGTGTTCATGTTTTTTTTGTTGTTTTTTTTTTAAATGGTGATTATAAATATGCTAATGTTTAATAAATAAATTGCACAGCTAAATTCAACCCCACTATGTGCCACAGACAAAATAACCAATTAACAAAGTGGCATGTAAAAATTAGGTAAATCTTTGCACAGATATGGGTCTTCTCCTTGTACCTGGGGTAGTAAGTGGTGTAGCTCATGTTCATGTTCATGTAAAGCTGGGGAGAGTAGTAGGCTAAAGCAGGTACAGGGTTGTGTGCTGGGGCCTGTGGAGTTCTTGGAGTGGCCAGCAGGGGGGGCTGATACAACGCTGCCTCAGTGGGAAGCATAGCTGGAGTCGCAGGAAATGCAGCATATGTTGGTGGAGAGAGACCTGAGAAAGACATGACAGTGCTTTATTAAAAATAAATTTTCACCATGTGGGCATGCTAAATCTCTCTCACTCTCTCACTCTCTCCCTCTCACACACACACACACACACCTGACCTTGCAGGAGTGTGTGAATGTCATGTATACTTAGCTTAACTGGCACAGAGACAATTACTGTGTCCTCTGACCTTGGCTTGAGAATGGGCCGTATGTGCTCACAATACATCAAACAACCAAATCAAATTACAGGGTAAGCAGCCCTTCCTTTAGTGCCGCTACAGGCTTGCCCTTTCTAAAATGCCAAAATGTTGCACCTTTAGATTCGTGACAGAGGTGTTCACACCGCTTTCTTGTAGATAAACTGAAATCTAATCTCAAACAGCCCAGCTGATAGGAGCAGAAGAGCGCAGGTTGGAACACTGCAAACAGATCAGCATATCTTGAACAGGAACAGATTACAGCTGCTGGCTCACGCTAAATACGAACCCAAATTCACAGCGCAGTTCATCTTATCATGCGGTTTCCAACAAGCATTTGACAAAAAAAGAAAGCTCCATAAAGTAGCAGACAGTCTCTTACAGGGCAGTTTGCAAGGAGGTGGCGAGAGGCCGCTGCGGTTAAGCGTTCCCCCCATCAGCACAAAGCTCATCTCCTCAGTGGAGCACTGGAACACCTCTACATAACGATCCTTCATCATCTTCTTGTGGCACTTCTGAGCCATCATAAACGCACGGTCAGCCGACTTCATTTGAATGAAGGCATCACCAGAGGGTCGACCCTAAAAAGACAAACCAAAAAAAAAAAAAGGGCCAAAGGGTCATTCTAGAAACACCTGATGTTTCTAATTTCATTAAGTTCCTCTGTCACCTGTTGGTTAAGGACCATGTGCACCCCATGTGGTTTGATATCAATGGTATGTTCTCCCATAAAGTCCAGGATGTCCTCGATGGCGGCAGTGTACGGCAGACCTCTCAGCCTGATGCAGTCTCGCGTGCTGCCGGTGGTGATGAAGGGTGACGTGGCTAACATGGGTACAGACACCATCTGAGGCGGAGGAGGAAGTGTGGAGATCAATGGAGTGGACATGTAGCGATTCAAAACCTAGTTTGAAGATACAAAAGGTCAAGAAAACAGCAATGAAGAACAAGATGTTGGTTTCATACACATGCACACCAGCTTTTTTTTCCTTTTTAGCTCTGATTAAATATAAATCATCTGTACCTGTTGGACCTCAGCTGCAGTACTGCGGAACAGCTCAATGTATCTCTTGCCCAGGATCTGTTTGTGCTTCTTCAGGGCATTCTGGGCATATTCCTCACAGGCAAAGAGAACAAACGCGTCGCCTGTGGGACGTCCATCTGGGTACTTCACAAACAGAAGCCCCTCCGTCCCATCCGTCACCGGGCTCTCCGGGCCCAGGAAGCCCAGAACATCCTGAGGAGTAGCAGTGAACGGAAGCCCACGCATTCGGATTATCACTTGGTTTTCCTTAGAAAGAAACTGAGCTACCTCATTGGACGTGCCTGTCAAAAGATGAGGACATTTAAAAATGGCGAGTGGTAACAATATCAGACAGACTCTCAGCTGCTGTAAAACCTTTCAGCAGACACATCCACACGCGCTGTAATGATATCTCGGCAGGCCGCTGTTCTTTTACACCTGCTGTGTGTGAGGCTTTTCAGAGGCTGCTGACCCATCTTCCTCCCTGAGGGAACGGCTCTGTTTCTCTGTGGCCTGGCCAGAGCGGGGGGCAGGAGGAAAGGGGAATAGAGTTTCCCCCTCTACCTGCCCTACATGAGTCAGCAAGGAGAAGAGACTCACAAAGAGTCTTTCATTCCCACAGAGGGGGTAAAACTGAGGAACTGACACACACACACACCTGGGAATAGCGGATAGGGATTTATCTACAAATGGAAAGTGTCTGCTCATATTACAACTCAAGACTTCATGTAAATGACTCACCTCCTGCAATCTTCAGAAATTCCTCCCCAGTCGCTTTATACACCTGAAACAAAACAAAAAATACAGTGTCAGTGTCATAGGAGTGGACTGCATGCCTTTGATTGTATATAATTGTATTAATCAGATGAAAATTAGGGATGGATCAAGATGGTCACTTTGTTAATTACAGTGGGTACGGAAAGTATTCAGACCCCCTTACATTTTTCACTCCGTTATATTGCAGCCATTTGCTAAAATCATTTAAGTTAATTTTTTTCCTCAATGTACACACAGCACCCCATATTGACAGAAAAACACAGAATTGTTGACATTTTTGCAGATTTATTAAAAAAGAAAAACTGAAATATCACATGGTCCTAAGTATTCAGACCCTTTGCTCAGTATTTAGTAGAAGCACCCTTTTGATCTAATACAGCCATGAGTCTTTTTGGGAAAGATGCAACAAGTTTTTCACACCTGGATTTGGGGATCCTCTGCCATTCCTCCTTGCAGATCCTCTCCAGTTCTGTCAGGTTGGATGGTAAATGTTGGTGGACAGCCATTTTTAGGTCTCTCCAGAGATGCTCAATTGGGTTTAAGTCAGGGCTCTGGCTGGGCCATTCAAGAACAGTCACAGAGTTGTTCTGAAGCCACTCCTTCGTTATTTTAGCTGTGTGCTTAGGGTCATTGTCTTGTTGGAAGGTAAACCTTCAGCCCAGTCTGAGGTCCTGAGCACTCTGGAGAAGGTTTTCGTCCAGGATATCCCTGTACTTGGCCGCATTCATCTTTCCCTCAATTGCAACCAGTCGTCCTGTCCCTGCAGCTGAAAAACACCCCCACAGCATGATGCTGCCACCACCATGCTTCACTGTTGGGACTGTATTGGACAGGTGATGAGCAGTGCCTGGTTTTCTCCACACATACCGCTTAGAATTAAGGCCAAAAAGTTCTATCTTGGTCTCATCAAACCAGAGAATCTTATTTCTCACCATCTTGGAGTCCTCCATGCGGGCTTTCATGTGTCTTGCACCGAGGAGAGGCTTCCGTCGGGCCACTCTGCAATAAAGCCCCGACTGGTGGAGGGCTGCAGTGATGGTTGACTTTCTACAACTTTCTCCCATCTCCCGACTGCATCTCTGGAGCTCAGCCACAGTGATCTTTGGGTTTTTCTTTACATCTCTCACCAAGGCTTTTCTCCCCTGATAGCTCAGTTTGGCCGGACAGCCAGCTCTAGGAAGGGTTCTGGTAGTCCCAAACATCTTCCATTTAAGGATTATGGAGGCCACTGTGCTCTTAGGAACCTTAAGTGCAGCAGAATTTTTTTTGTAACCTTGGCCAGATCTGTGCCTTGCCACAATTCTGTCTCTGAGCTCTTCAGGCAGTTTCTTTGACCTCATGATTCTCATTTGCTCTGACATGCACTGTGAGCTGTAAGGTCTTATATAGACAGGTGTGTGGCTTTCCTAATCAAGTCTAATCAGTATAATCAAACACAGCTGGACTCAAATGAAGGTGTAGAACCATCTCAAGGATGATCAGAAGAAATGGACAGCACCTGAGTTAAATATATGAGTGTCACAGCAAAGGGTCTGAATACTTAGGACCATGTGATATTTCAGTTTTTCTTTTTTAATAAATCTGCAAAAATGTCAACAATTCTGTGTTTTTCTGTCAATATGGGGTGCTATGTGTACATTGAGGGAAAAAAATTAACTTAAATGATTTTAGCAAATGGCTGCAATATAACAAAGAGTGAAAAATTTAAGGGGGTCTGAATACTTTCCGTACCCACTGTATGTTATTTTTCAGATTTTACCTTTAAAATTAACAACAACAATACTTTAAAGGGAATAAGCTCAGAGATGCAGCTTCTTTAGTATGCTGTGCTTTAGCATGCTGTTAGACTGTCAAAGTAAACTCTCCAGAAAGTGGGGTCTCTAAATTTGTTGCATCTGACAACTCAAACACTAGTCGGTTACGACAATATGTAGTTTCGCACAAGCCTAGTATCCATTTAATTTGTTGCATATAAGAATCAGAACTGTCTCAGATTAAAAGGGAGTGTTGTTGCACAATGCATTTTTTGAGATGATCAGAGTAAAATTAAGTATGTTTTGGATGCTTTGAGGAGGTGAACTTACTTCAATGTATCTGTTGCCCATGTGGTGTTTATGTCGCTCGAGTGCCATGTCTCTGTGCTCAGAGTTTATGAAGCGCACCAGAGCTTCCCCGTTCCTCCGGCCCTGAGCATTTAAACACAGTGCAACGCCACCTCTGATACAAACACACACCCATAAAAATCAAACAAAGGCAGAGAAACAACACATTTAGTATGCATCCTTTAAAATGTACTCTTTATGATAAATCAGCTTGGACATTCCACGTAAAGCTACTTTTCCACTAGTGAAAGTCCTGATGTAAGATTTGGCTAGATATGCCTTTAAGGTTTTTCAGAGTTTTGCATTACACTGTTAATGTGTACTTAAGGGTCTTTTCTGAGTGCATGCACCATGTCATTGCGAGTGTGCCTTTCAGTGTTAAGCTGAGCTGTAATCTCACTTGGCAATGTTGAGGCCTTTGAAGAAGCGAGCGATGTCCTGATCAGATGACTGCCATGGCAACCCACGAGCTCTGATGACCGTCTCGCTGTCCACAGCTTCTGTCTTACTACTGGAAGCCATGCACACACACAGGAAACAATCATTCATGCTTAGCAGAATTCTTATGGGCGATGACCATAGTCAAACATAGTCTTATAATGGGAAACCCCACAGATGTATTTGAAAACTTATGGTCAATGTCATCAGCTCTTAAAGTAAGAACATTCTGGACAGCAGTAAAAGGGAAATTCCTCACTGCTCAGACAAACAAAACATATCAGAAAAAAATAAATAAAAATCAAACTATGACAAATATGAGTAAATACCATGCTCCGGATTCAAACTTGTAGTTTACAGTCTCAAAAGTGGAGAATGTGTGATCTACAAAGAAAAAAACTCAGTTATTATAAGATCACATGATCAGTTATGCATAAAAGCAAATATGTAAGGTTTTATCAGTATATAAACTGCACGGATCAATCCACTATGCTGAGTGACTCACTGTAAGGCTCAGTCAGGAGGTGCAGAATTAGCAGAACCATGTTCTTCACCTCCCTCATTCCGGCCTCCTGCTCCACCGCTGCAGGAACACACACATCTGACAACAATGTCAAGGTCATATGCATATGTGAATGCACATATTCCTACCAAAACAGCTGAAAATGCTGAAATCGTATTATAATCCTGGGCCCGTATTCATGAAAATTCTTAGTGCAAAGAGTTTCTCCTAATTACAAAATTCTAAGAAAATTCCTCTTAGAATTAAAGTAATTCAGAAAACATCTTAACCCTTAAAAGAGTTCTTAAGGTCCAAAATTGTTAAGAGTACTGACGAGGACTTTTAAGAGGCTTAAGGGTTTCTTTAACAGTAGAGAAAATCAACAAAAAGTGAATGCATGACACTATACATTAGATTGTGCAGTGATCATGTTTGTGACCGATATTAGAGACAGACTAACATCTCCGACACGGTTTAAAAATGCCATAGGGACAGAAATGAAAGCAATCACTACATTAATAATGGCCACGTTCACATTGTCAGTTTTAGGAATTGACAACCGCATTTCCTTACAGGTGTGGGTCTCGAAATGTCTCGTTCAAACAGCAGCGTCTTGAATACTGTCTGTATGAATGTGCAACGAGAGTCAAGCCCATATATGCACGCACATCCGACCTTTCTGCATCTTGCGCATGACATTGCATTCGAGTCACGCACAGAACAAAAAAACTGACAGAAACTGCTCCAGTGGAGAACAGTGACTGGATCTAAAACCTTCAGATGACGTACAGCTCATTTCTCCATCACCGTAACCAATGTTGGGTAAGTTACTTTTAAAAAGTAATTAATTACTTATTACTAATTACATCATCAATATTGTATTTAAATTACTTTTATAATTACTCTGTCTGAAAAGTAACTTAATTACTCAATAAGTAACTTAATCATTTGAATCGTTAATCCCTATAAACCTTGATGCATAGAAATTAAACTTAATTATTTCAGTTTGAGTTAAACATGGAATAGTTTAGCCTTTTAGCTTTAAAACAACTGTAATACTTAAGCATTTTAATAAAAAAATGTAACCACCTTTAGTTAACAAATATAATTACTCTGCAAAATATCCAAATAACAAAAAAGTTTAAAAGTAAATTTAAGTAACTTTTATAAACGTGCCAGAAGAAAACATTACTGGTGCATCTCGAGATAAAACAATGGTATTTTAAGGTATGTCAGTGCAAGTTTCTTTCAGTTAAAACAGCTCAGAAATTTATTTAATCTGGGACTAGACTTCAGCCTTGTCTGTGAAACCAGGGGTACATGTATCAAGCTGTAAGCATTAAACTTTTCAAAGCAATTATATTTTACTCTTTCACACATTTCAGTTTGGCAAGATAGGAAAAGCACAACTAGTAAAATGCGTACAAGTTTATGTAGCCTAAAAAATAACATGTTAACTAATGTAAGAAATGATCTCCTCCGCTGAATAAAGCCACGTCAGATCGCGCTGTTCTTCCGAGGTAAATTCCGGCTTATTTCTCAAGTCTTCTTCCAAAAACAATGACAAGCAGATGAATCGGGAATTTTTTTTTTTGCATCTAGGTGATGAGGGCGTTTGCGCGCAGGTATGGCTGCAGATAATGAGCTCAGAGACGGGAAAAACTGTACCTCGCTTTAGTTTAGATTATTATTACATAATCAGAGAATATTCGTTTTTGATTTGAATTAGAAAAATTGAAGCGTCTACATTTTTTTAAATGAACCATAGACATATCTCACATATGTGTGTGTGTGTGTGTGTGTGTGAGAGAGAGAGAGAAGTATTCGCCGAGTTCAGGTTCGTTTTTGTGACACGTTTCAGAAAGTTGTTCACAGAGAACAAACCAGCAGAAAGCACACCCTGTTTGTTTTGTTTATTTTACAAAAGCACAATGTTTTGTTGTTATTGTCAGTGTACACAAATAAAAGTATACCATTTACAGATTCAATTGATTTTAGTCTTATCTGTATCTGGGTATTTTAGGTCCTTTTCTCTCTTATCAGGAAAAACAGCAAGAGAACACGCCGGCACGCAGAGGGTTAAAGACGCTGCATTCAATTTTAGCTTTAGACGATACATTTAGATTTCAAATTCAATATTGATTTTAGAACGGTTTAAATTATTTACAGTAACGCAAATACTTTATAAGTAACTGAAATTACTGTAAATTACCTAAAAATGAAAAGTAATCCCTTATTTTACTTTTTTCAGTGGATAACGCGTTATTTAGTAACTTACCCAGAGTGAAACCACACATGAGCGGCTCTCTCGCACTGTACTACAACTAGTTGTACAGTTCATACTGCGCGTGTTTTGTGTGAACGTGGCTGTACATTAACATATTTGGCAACTGGAAAAATGCAACTTTGTAGCAGTGATGATTTGGGTCGGTCATAACCTTCTACAAGCAAAGTGATCACACAAACAATTACAGCACTTTCAGAACCTTATTGTGTCACTGTTCGTTTCCTATCAAATGTACCTTAAGTACAACATTAACAGCATGGTAAATAAAAAAAAAGTAAGAATATATATAATGCGTGTGAGAGAGTATGGTACAGGGTTTCTGCAGACTTGAACAAGTTAAATTTAAGACCTTTTTAATACCACCTTATATGAAATTTAAGACCTAAACCTGTAATGGAAATACACATTTTATTACATACATAAATGTAATATTTAATGTGTATAAATTAAAAAGAAAAAAAATCAATGCTGTAATAAATGGTATTTATAACTACAATATACAGTGAACTTTTCATGGCAGCAAACAATATTCCATACAAAATATCCCTGCAAAATAACTACATCACTGAGATTTTTGGTGGAGTAAACTATTTATTCTGAAGCAATATTTTCATCAGTGTTCTATCAGCTTTTACATACTTAAATCTGCATATTTACCTTTACAAATGCCTATTTCTAACCTTTTTAGATGTATGCATCATCTTAAATGTCAAATTATTACAATTTATCAATAAATTCAATATACAATACAGGGCTGCTACCAGTCAGATTAAATTATTTACACTGCAAATAACAATAATTACAACTGCAATAAATAATGTTATGAGATTAATGTTTTAAATGCATTTATGAGTATACAAATAAGAAATGTTGAGGGGAAAAATGCATACTTTTCAACAAACTTCTCAACTGAACTACCAGTAAGTGGGGGTAAGTCACTTAATGAGTGAGTATTGAGTCATTCATTCAACTGATTGAGTGTGTTATCATGCTGTGATCATTCCGAATGTATTTTAATAGACTGAATCATGCAGTGATCAGGCAGAGCGCTAGACTTCACGTAATGCGTGCACTGTAGGTGTTTTGAATGTTTGTTTGTTTTTTTGCGTTGTGAGAATATTGAGTAAAATAGCTCACTTGTCATTGTGTTATTTAACTCATGTTATGAATAAACTAAACATCTTGAATTTTTACCTCAGTGTGTTTCTTCTGAGTTTATGTGTCGCGGTCACGCTCATTTGTTCTGAAGTCTCGAGACAAACAGAGTGAGCCTCAGCGCGAGCTTGTATTCTGTATTCTCTCTGATGGCGCAGTAACTTACCGCGGGTCGGTCTGTCCAGTGATTGTAAAGTCATTAGGTCCGTCAGACTTAAGATATTTTAGCGGTAATGAGACCAAAAATATTTAAGACCCATCGAATCCGAATTTAAGACTTTTTAAGGCCTTATATTAGGAAAACGTTATTTAAGACATTTTAAGACTTTTTAAGGACCCACGGACACCCTGTGGTAAAACAGGAAGGCTTATAATAAACCCTAAAGCACTCTTTTCTTACTTCTTGGGACAACCAACCAATCACAGTCTTCTGTGACTGTGTCATACGTAGCAATGGGTCAGCCCCGCCTCCTCGTTAAGATGATCTTTTCCTTGCTGAGGTCTTTTCCTTGCTGAGAGTTGCTCTCAGATTGGTCCTGAATCGCTCTGAAGCAAAGACTCCTACATAGACATTTTTAAGCTAAATTAGGAGCTTTCTGAGAGGATTCTTCGAATCTTTAAGAATACGGGCCCTGCCCCTGATCTTTAAATACTGGTATTTGAAAAAAATTAAAAATAAATTTTGGACCACCACTTTCCACAAATAGCACTGTAAAACCCAAAGCATATGCAGGATACAGTCCAGCATGGAGGTCAGAGTGAGATCTTTGACAGGGCCTGCGTTGGGGCAGCATTTGTGAAACTCTTTCTTCAAGTCCACAAACGTGTAGAAGCACTCTGGCAGGACTAGATTCTACAACAAAACACACTCAGACAAATGAGGGAGATGCACACTAGAAAATGTTTAGGAAAAGCCTGAGGGAAGGGCAGAGGAGATCAAACGGTAAAAAAAGAGGGAAAAGATAGGGAATGGATTGAGGGCACTTTAATGTCCTCTGGAGGAGCACCGCATTCCTGTAAAGATTATAACATGTTGCTGCTAAACAGATTATACCACAGACTGACAGCTAATTTAGAAATGTCAGAAGAATACACACACACACACACCTAGGCTTTTCCTTTTCAGTTTTCAATAGCCTTAGTTAAGGGTGGATTAAATGCAAATACTCAAGGATGACAGTGTGTTTGGACTTTGGAAGGAGGGTGTTACCTTTTTGGAGGCCTCGGGGTGCAGCACCTGTTGGATAAGCAGTGGTCCATCCACACAAAGTGTGTAGGAGCTTCTGCCCAGAGACTTCAGTTCAGCTGACACCGACTGATAAAACTAGAGACAGGAACAGAAACGGTGAAAAACAGAGAAAGAATGGCGCAAAAATTTATTATTTCTATTCTAAAACACCACAGCATTACATACAGGTAGGTATTAGATTCACTTCCCTTTACATCTACACTGTTGAGAAGGATCAGTGAGAATTTTTCTTTTTTTTTGAAAAAATAAATAAAAAAAACAACACAAGGTTAAGCTTAAACCACTGAACTTTCACTACAATGTCAAGGGCAGCACAGAGGACACCCACATTATGTAGTAATATGTACACATGCTGCTCTGTGTGCTTTCTTGTTTTGAAGATTAAGCAGCTGGTCAGACTGGTTTGGTGAAAATACAGGAAGTGAGCAATGGCCGTTGCATACATTTCAGATAAAGTATTTCACATGACCAGAGAGATAGATGACAAAACAAATGAAGAGCGTTTGTCCTGCTCTAAAAACACACCACCTGCTCACTCACAGCTATAGGGGCTCCCACATTCACCTGTTTTTAAGCAAAAACATTTCTTTAATGAACTATTACAGATGTTTAGTAAACTTATCCATCTCTGCATCAGCCAACAGCAGTACAGGCTAACCACCACGACCATGACACGACAACTGATTTGAGTGCTTTATGATATTCACATGAGAGTGACAAACATGGAAATGAGAAAATGCAAAGGAGAACATGTCTCACACAAGTCAACATGAAAAAGAACGTGTTATTAAGAGCGGTTCTTGCATTAATAATAAAAAATAAATAAAAATTTTTTTTAAAGTGTAGAAAATGTTTTCCCTCAAAGTGCTAGCACATTTCACAAACAACTGCAAAGAAACCGCAATCAACACAATTAAATATGGAATTTTGAATTAGAAACACTGAAATTGTGTTTTCTTATTCAATGTACTCCAATCATTTTTATTTTATTTTCAATTTTGAAAAATCACTTTTAAAAGGGAAGGCACTGAATGAAGCAGAGTTTATATTATGCAAGTATATAAGATGAATGTTACATTTACATCAGCAAAAATAACATATACAGTTTCTCTGATATTAAAATGACTTGTGATGTAAGATTTAGGTTATACCACATACATCAACAGTTGTTTTTTTAATCAAACTAATTAAACTAATACAAGCTCAGATCAAGAGTTATGAAAAAAACTGGTTTAACTACTAACTTAATGTGACGAATCAAACATGACATTTCTATGATTTAAGTCAATCTGCAGTGAATTACAACAGAGCAGGAATGACCAGAGTCTGAAGAAAACCGATAGCCCCTTTATGGCCTAATTTTCCTATCATTTGGGCGGCGCTGATAGCAAGCAAACGTTGCCTTTACCCAGAGCAACCAAAAGTAAAAGCAACCAAGACATACAGTAGCTAACAAAAAGTTTAAAAGATTAAGTGCAACATACATAACCGGACTAATCTACAAGCTGGCAATATCGGAGAATTTGAGAAATAAAGCAGTATAAAGCTCTCAAACCATAGAGAACAACTGAAGGCAGAACTGCAGCTACATTCCCATCACGCTCTTGGACAGCGACATGCTGTTTTTCCACATATCCTGTCCAACTTCATACCTCATGCAAATACAAGGCTTCAGTTAGTCATTAAGGGCTTAACTTTGTAAATACCTGACAATTCTGAAAGTACAATTCAAGAGCTTCACATCTCATTTTAAGTCATCTCAAATAAGGCTTGAGTGGTACACAGTCACAGTAATAACACAAACACAAAATAATGCATTCACTTAGCGCTGCACTTGTTACAGGGTTTGTGAGTGTGTGCACTTGTGTATTGTGCATTCATGGCTGTTTTCACAACACAACCCCACCTTGCACAAATTAGCAACTGCAATAATTCAGTGCAAACTTAATTTCTGCTACACAAACATTCTGCGAAAACACACTGACACACCCTGTGCCTACACACAATTAGACAGGGGAGATCAAACTCCAGGAAAAAAGCTAGATATGAAGGGTAACATTTCACTGGCTGGAAATCAAAATTCTATAAAAATAAAACTTTTAAAATTTGAGCAATATTTACTTTAAGTAAAAAGACTAAATCAGTAAAATAGCCACTCCAGCATTGAGAAAAGGCGTTTGTATGGCTAGCATAAGACACACAAGATAGATAAACTTGATCTGAGTTTCAGTTTTACATTCTCCTCTGCCACTGTCAGTGAGAGTGAGAGAGAAATTTGATCTTTGGCATGACAATCAATCAGTGTGTCCTGCTGAGCCATGTTTGCTCTGTGTGTATGTGTGTGTACACAAAGAGGCCGAATTCCAAATGGCATTTTTGCCCCCTTGAAGAAAAGGGATGCAATCTATAGAGTCATTCAAAATGCAAGTGAGCAGCAGAATCCCTCTACGAAAGCTTTAATTAAAGTTATTTTGCCATTTATGATCACATGATCCCGGGTGGCAAGCTTTTACCATTCATTTTAAAACCTGTGAATTTTATATCTAAAATTGCTTTTGTATACCAAACAACTATCAGCAGAAAATATTCCTTCCATATATTACTGTTCAAAGGTTTAGGTTCGATAAGATTGCAAGCAAACGTTGCCTTTACCCAGAGCAACCAAAAGTAAAAGCAACCAAGACATACAGTAGCTAACAAAAAGTTTAAAAGATTAAGTGCAACATACATAACCGGACTAATCTACAAGCTGGCAATATCGGAGAATTTGAGAAATAAAGCAGTATAAAGCTCTCAAACCATAGAGAACAACTGAAGGCAGAACTGCAGCTACATTACCATCACGCTCTTGGACAGCGACATGCTGTTTTTCCACATATCCTGTCCATCTTCATACCTCATGCAAATACAAGGCTTCAGTTAGTCATTAAGGGCTTAACTTTGTAAATACCTGACAATTCTGAAAGTACAATTCAAGAGCTTCACATCTCATTTTAAGTAATCTCAAATAAGGCTTGAGTAGTACACAGTCACAGTAATAACACAAACACAAAATAATGCATTCACTTAGCGCTGCACTTGTTACAGGGTTTGTGAGTGTGTGCACTTGTGTATTGTGCATTCATGGCTGTTTTCACAACACAACCCCACCTTGCACAAATTAGCAACTGCAATAATTCAGTGCAAACTTAATTTCTGCTACACAAACATTCTGCGAAAACACACTGACACACCCTGTGCCTACACACAATTAGACAGGGGAGATCAAACTCCAGGAAAAAAGCTAGATATGAAGGGTAACATTTCACTGGCTGGAAATCAAAATTCTATAAAAATAAAACTTTTAAAATTTGAGCAATATTTACTTTAAGTAAAAAGACTAAATCAGTAAAATAGCCACTCCAGCATTGAGAAAAGGCGTTTGTATGGCTAGCATAAGACACACAAGATAGATAAACTTGATCTGAGTTTCAGTTTTACATTCTCCTCTGCCACTGTCAGTGAGAGTGAGAGAGAAATTTGATCTTTGGCATGACAATCAATCAGTGTGTCCTGCTGAGCCATGTTTGCTCTGTGTGTATGTGTGTGTACACAAAGAGGCCGAATTCCAAATGGCATTTTTGCCCCCTTGAAGAAAAGGGATGCAATCTATAGAGTCATTCAAAATGCAAGTGAGCAGCAGAATCCCTCTACGAAAGCTTTAATTAAAGTTATTTTGCCATTTATGATCACATGATCCCGGGTGGCAAGCTTTTACCATTCATTTTAAAACCTGTGAATTTTATATCTAAAATTGCTTTTGTAAACCAAACAACTATCAGCAGAAAATATTCCTTCCATATATTACTGTTCAAAGGTTTAGGTTCGATAAGATTTTTTTTTTAATGTTTTTGAAAGAAGTCTCTTATGCTCACCAAGGCTGCATTTGTTGGATCAAAAATACAGTAAAACAGTAACATTGTGAAATAGTATTACAACATAAAACAACTATTTTCTGTTTTAATATATTTAACTGATGGCAGAGCTGAATTTTTACCAGGTATTACTCCAGTCTTCAGTGTCACATGCTCCTTCAGAAATCATTTGGTGCCCAATAAACATTTCTTATCATCAACATTGAAAACAACTATGCTGCTCAATTTTTTTTTTCAAGTTTTACTGAATGATAATGACGTGTCTCTGTGAAACCAAACAACTATCAGCAGAAAATATTCCTTCCATATATTACTGTTCAAAGGTTTAGGTTCGATAAGATTTTTTTTTTTATGTTTTTGAAAGAAGTCTCTTATGCTCACCAAGGCTGCATTTGTTGGATCAAAAATACAGTAAAACAGTAACATTGTGAAATAGTATTACAACATAAAACAACTATTTTCTGTTTTAATATATTTAACTGATGGCAGAGCTGAATTTTTACCAGGTATTACTCCAGTCTTCAGTGTCACATGCTCCTTCAGAAATCATTTGGTGCCCAATAAACATTTCTTATCATCAACATTGAAAACAACTATGCTGCTCAATTTTTTTTTTCAAGTTTTACTGAATGATAATGACGTGTCTCTGTGAAAAATGTACCAAACGCAAACACAAAACAGTCTTGCCCTATACTCACTTTAAGCGTTCTGCCCTCTAAAATTAGTAGGGCATAGTGATGCTTACTTTTGAGTAGAACTCAACCTGTGTGTTCGGGATGAAGTGAAGTGAAGTGAAGTGAGAGTGTCTTTAGATAAGGTAACAGAATGTGCCGGCTGAACTACCAGGATGTTTAAGCAACAGTCACAACCGGATTTGATTACTCCATTCTGTATTCACTTTATACAATGCTGTAAAAACATGAGACCCAAAATCCATCTAATTCATTTCTATAAATGACCATTTTACTGATGGGAAGTCTTTCTGAGGCTGAATGAAAGCATGGATAAACGTGTCACTCATCCTTTCATAGAGGCATTTGCCAGAACTCCCTCTTCACATTGACAGTCTGTAGAGAAATAAAGCTCTCTGCTCATCACTCACAGGTACTGACATGCTCTTGCCAGCCTGCTGTGCTTTGTCAGCGAGCTCACAGAAGAAAACACAATTTCTCTAACACACCCTGTGTCTCTCAAACACACCCAAGATCATTTTCTCCCACAAACACACTCATGATCTCACGGACACAGTAACAATTTTACTCTGCTTCAAGTCTTTTCTCCCTTGCGCACACACACAGGTGTTAGCACCTCACCATTCCCACAGAGTTAGCATCTAAAAGCAGGTGCAAAGCCAAAGCGAGTCACCCAGTGAGTGCCAGCAGCTATACATTTTTTTCCCCCTACGTTTCACTTTGGTTGCCACGTCTCAATACACACAGCACAGATCAGTCGCAAAAGCTCAGAATAAAAACTCACTAAACCCTCCTAAATACCCGTTTCCTAACCAAGACACAATGATGAGGACAATTTTATCAACCAGTGAGTCACAACAGTGAGAAAACTGATGTTAGTTGTGTCACCATTCCATATGTAGGGGACAGGTCTTGAAAGAATCTTTCACTGAAGATAACAGGTCAAAGTCCTGAGTGAGAGCCCTTCCCCAAACCCCTCACTGTTCCTTATAGGGCTGGGCGCTATGATGTTAAATATCGTGGTGACAATATAAAGTGTTTAGAGATAGATTGCCACATCATGGTGTGTGAATATATTTGCGCAGGACTGCTTCAAGTTGACACATATGAGTGATAAAGAAACATGAATGAGAAAAAGTGCATGCTTGATGTTGAAGAGTTAAGCACAATAAGCCACAAAAAGAACTAAAATGCAGTGCTTGCTCTTGTAGCTTTAATAAGAATCAGTGAATATATAATTCATTCAGTGAAGAATGTGCAGTTTTAATTTACATTTGATAAAATGTCTTACTTGAATGCTACTGTTAAATAGATCTACTGTACCTGGAAAAGTACCTATTTTTTATTATTTGTATCTTTCTTACATTGTATCCTGTTGTTTGTAATTTGCTTTTTGATTTGTTCTTAAAACAAAAACAACTATATTATGATTATATCTTAGTATATGATAAATAAAATTAATCCCATCATGAAATACGATTTTGGTTGTATCACCCACTTCTAGTTCCAACACCTGTTGGAAGTGGTTGTATTTCTTTGAAAACAACAAGGAAAATGAATTGAACTGAACCAATGGTTTGATAGCGCCTGTCTTTCTATCTATCTCTCTGAAAGGTAGGCAGGGAGAAATTGATTTCACTAGTTAATATTTACAGAGCCCCCTGGGGATAGGCTATGACTGAATCAAGATAACATGCCACAACCTGAATGCTACAAAGATATGCAATAACAAAAATGGGAGAAAATGTATTAAATTAGACTAATCATTCTTTAATGGTTCTAATTTGTACTTTAATAAATGTAATATATATAAATTCCAACAAACATCTAGTCCCAGAACTGAGCTTAGACTTCAAGCTCTAAATATCTTTCTGTGGGCAATAATGAGAGGGTGTCCATTATGAAACAGTGGGGGGTGGAAACAGGTTTACCAAGCACAAACAAATTCTCTCTGCGTCATGGTTGAAAAACACGTTTGGTGACAACTGTCTTTTGCCAAAACATACCTGCAAAACTCAGGAGCAACCCGAAACTGTATCCTGCTTGATAAATGAGCCTAACACGGATAGCAGAAGAAACAGAAAACAGGAATATATCTCGGGCTCACTCGTTTTAATTTTAATCCCACTCTCTACTATTCTGCTCATCTCTCTGTATCCATATCACTCTTGCTCACTCACTGACATTTATGGTTCTCAGGTGGGTGCATTCGCAGGTAAACATTCTGTCTTCCAGATGTCTGCTTAGCACATCAGTCCACAACAAGACCAGACCTGCACTCTGCCCTAGAGCAGAGTGTCTGTGCCTTCCTTCCCACACCCAAACCCCACACACACACACACATTACACAAAGCAAGCCAAAATCTGCAAAACGCTAAAATCATGTGGACAATATCAAAGACTTGCCTTATGCTGACACACAGCCTATACTAAAAAAAATGGAGACACTACTATATATGTGACTTTTAATTGATTTTAGAACACTACAAACATCCCTAGGCTGTTTGAAAGGCCATAATATACACAAACACTGTAGAGATGCATGGCTCGAGAAAGAAACACATGGTCTCTCACCTGCTGCAGGACGCTCTCCAGCGGCTCGGCCTTGCACAGCTCCTCCGCCGTGAGCCCGGTCTCCTCCTTGCACTGCTCCGACACATCCGCACTGTCCGGCTGTACTAGAGTCCGCTTAAGCTTGCCCACCTGTTAACAACATCATCTCTTTCAACGGGCCTCGCAATACATCTCAAGCGGGTTTTCTCATCGGCGCGTCCTTTAACACACCTGGCCGTCGAGAACACAGACAGTATGCTGTCTAGATAGGCAGCTCACTGGGTTTGACACCGAGTCACTATGGCGATGATGACTTTATCTCAGGCAGTGTGTTTGTGTGAACGCAAAGCAGACACGGCAGGGTCACTGACCTACAGGCAATGACATGCACCAAACAAGGCACGCTTTCGTCTCTCGTGGCTTGAAAAGACCACATTATAATGCTCGAATCACGTTGTCAAACAGACCATCAAATAAAACAGCTGCTGCTTGTAATGTAAATCACAATGTAAACTCTCTGAAAGCGCTCCTTGTTAGTGAATGTCAGCCGTCAAGGTGGTTTCTAACACTAGCATATTACTAGGTGGGTAGTTTAAAGTAAGAGACCTTACAACAGGGTCAAAAGGTCCGTACCTTATTCTCATGTAGATCCACAATTTGCCACACCAAGAGAATTAATTCCCTTTCATCCGACCCCAGTTTACCCCCATTTGCACCAGCTGTTGCCCCAAAGAACACCACCAGAGTATCACTGTGCGAAGCCATCAGGGACCACAAGGGTAAAAACTACAATTAAGAGCAAAGATCAAATAAAACAGTAACACGAGGGTTCACCTTTCTCCAAGAGAAGCAAACAAAAGAAATGGAAATTCAATTGAAGTACACGAGAAAGGACAGTAGATTACTTCAGGAGAAGGACACGAGAGAGAGAGTGCGGCACGAGACTCTACCTGTTGCAGTACTTGTGCTCTCTATCCAGAGTTACTGGTTTGACTGGTAAAGAAGGCAGAAAAAAGTCCTGGTTCGTCTCACGCTAACCCCATATCAAGCCCTGAAGCCTTTTCTCGCGGTCTCGTTTTTTCTTGGTTACCTGGTTGTGGTTCGGCCTCCCTGTTTGCAGTCAATCTCCCGGGGGAGCGCGTTGATTGGCTGGTTTGTAAAGGTGAGGGCGGGGCGTATTGTATGTAACCCGTTCTGATTGGTTTATTATGCGCTAGGAAGTAAGAGAGAAGATTCCGAATTCATTTGTCCTGCTTTGCTGCTACACACCTATACAGACGCGCCGTTTAATATATACGGGTTTATCTATGTAAAAAGATGCACGTAGGCCTACCTTGAAACAAATAAACTTTGAAAAGCAAACATACAAATATGTTTAAAATCATACACTCACACAAGATTAAGACTCCGTGATATCAGCTCCCTGAATAAAAGCTCTAATAAAAGTTTTATTTTAGATTAAACTTCCATAAACTCTCAAAAACTGCTGATATTCGTTTCTGCCACTCTCACTAGACAAACACATAGTCTCACAAAACTAAGTTTTAGACTATTGATATTAATTGTGCTACACATAATATCAGTGATTGTGATAGTTTATTCTGGTCGTGTAGTTGTTTATGCAGTTATGAAGGGGCAGTTTGACTGGCACGTTAAACCACCCATCACACTTCACTTCTTTAATGTGACATTTATGGGCGGCTCATAAACTAACTGAAAAGAGAAATCATTTGCACTTGCAACTACAACCTGACTAAATATTCTGAAATATATTTTTAGGATTCGATGCCAGGAACATTGTAAACTTTGACAGAGTTGCCGCGATTAATGTCAAATTGTGATGTTCTTAATATAGCCAAATAATTTTTTTCCTTCAAAATTTAAAGTTTTTGAGTGTTTAATCCGTTCAGTTTAAAGGGGTCATATGATGCTGCTAAAAAGAACAGTATTTGGTGTATTTGGTGTAATGAAATGTGTTTATGCGGTTTAAGGTTAAAAAAACACATTATTTTCCACACACTGTACATTATTGTTGCTCCTTTCTGAAACGTGTTGATTTTTACAAAGCTCATCGGTCTGAAAAGCGAGGTGTGCTGGGATTGGCCAGCTATCCAGTGCTTTGTGATTGGCCGAATACCTCAAGCGTGTGACGAGCAAAGGACCAGCTTAGTGGATAGTAGCTACTGACGAATGTCAGGGCTCCTGCTATAAAGGTCATTGTGGTGCAGGCGTCCTCCAAACTTTCCGCCATGTCGGGGCTTGAATGCTTGAGAGCGAGCGAGATGAGGGCCTTAAAGGACACGGCGGGATAGAGTGAGCAGTGGCCGGAGGCCTAGAGTGAGTGGAGGCCGGTTTGAGTGAGCAGAGGCGGGCGGGCTTGCGGCAACCACATGTGACGACCCCGGGCTGGACTCCGCTTCGTCCACGGTGAAAGCCGATCTGGCGATCCACAGCATGAAGTTGATGTATTTCCTCAGCGACCAGCAAGGATCAGCTCTAGGCATGACGAAGCGGATATCGTCCTCTTTTGGAAGACCAAACAAAGTTTCGCTTTCACAATGAAACACCCAGCACCTTCACGACATGACGGCAACAACAACAATACTACAATGAGAATAAAAGTTACGCCTTCTTTCTTTTCGTGAACATTTGGGCGGCATTATGCAAATCTTCCCACATCGTGACGTAGACATGTGGGGGCGTGTTAGAACAAGCCGTTTTAGGTAGGCGTGGTTGACTCTTAACTTTTATAAAGAATATCTCTTTGGATTTGAGACTTTAGTCTTTGCAACTTTACAGATCTTCTTTATGCACCAAGAGCTTGTAACACTCCAAAGAGAAAGGAAAAATTTAAATCGCATCATATGACCCCTTTAAAGGAAAAACACAATTATAGGTAACAGGTTTAGGTTTTAAGGTCAAATTGGGGAAAAGAAAAAAGATACATGACACTATGACATAGCAATGGCAATGTAAAAAAGAAATGAAATTAACTTAATAATCTTAAAATAATTTAGGAGCCCAAACCTATCCTTGGCTCCTACATATACCCTATAGAGTCAACTGTGCTGAGGTCTGAGTTTTGTTTCCATGATTCAGTGCTCTTGTGTGCTTGTGTGTCAGTAATTAAATGGGACAAAAAGCCAGACAGAGACTGCTCGTCTGCAGTTCACTCACTATTCCATTGCGTGCCAAACTTAGGTGACAATTCTATGGCCTCTTCCAGACTTAGGAAGTCAAGCATCTCTCTCCTTCTCTCTCTGGTTTCTGGTTTGAGCAATGGTCAGCTGATTCTTTCAGTCATGAAATTTGTGTTGACAAGAGAGATAGAAGTATAACCACAGGTTATGACAGGAGAAATGTCATCTCACCACTTTTAAAGGGCTGGAATACACTACACGACGTTTAAAATCTGAACAGATTCATCATACACTTGTCACCTCTGTAAATGGTTACAAAGAAAAACATTAGCAAAGATATGCATTAGCTCACACAGAAACATGCGCCTAGCTGCTAAGAGACACATGACAAATGAAAACAATGTGTTCTAAAATCAGCTCAAAATATCAAACATGGACTGGATGTAATCACAAGCTAAAAAAAACAAATCAGAGTCTGTGCCCATCCTATACTGTGAAATTGGTAAACTCCGCAACCAAAACCTACAGACTGCTCTGACTTTGGCCAACTAGAGCTGACTCGTCCAGAGTGCAAATCAGGGCAAAAATTTGCACAAATGTTGTGTAGTGTATTCCAGGCTTTACTCTAGGTACAAATTTAGCATTTCAAAAATTCGATAAATTCAAATGTGTTTATTTTTTAAATTCAGTTAATAAAGGTATATAATCGAAAGGTGCCAAAAAAGATTTCACAGAAGAAGAAAAAGCCTGGTGAGCTTTTCTTTTGCTTTAGACAGTGGTCCTATGCAAAATAATGTATATGTTTAGGTTTTTAAATAACTGCTGTTCAATTTTCGTATGAAAGGAGCATTATAGAAAAGAATGACATTTCAGTGGAATCTGTTTTTAGATGGACATCTGCTCCGTTTAATGCCCACTTCCTCTTTCCCACCATTACAAGATTCACAAGCACACACGTTGCAAGGAAAAGGAAGATATTGAAATCATAATGCACAGAAGATGTAAGACAGTCTGCTTACATAAGATACCATGGGAATTTGATCCTAAACAGACAGAAATATTTGCTATAAAGGCATTTGAGTTATATCACAAGTGTGAAAGTGGTTTCATCATAGAATATGCAATTGCAATTTAAGTTATAACATCTGTGAGTATTAAAATATACTCAGAACACAAAGAACAAGGCACAAGCAAATATTTCACTTAAAAAATGTTTACATTTTAATACAATTCTGAAATACAAAATTACATGAAAAACTTCAAGCACTCTTTTTTGAGAAATAACAGTTATAATGTTTATAAAGCTTCAGTCTGAAGTACTGATGCATGATTCCATAGCCACATCTACCCGCACTTTTGAGTCTGTGAGACACTGTGAGTTGGTGCTGTGTGAACTCTGTCTTTTGGACACAAATGATAACTCTTTATTCCCTTCACCTGATGCTGCACTGGACAAATGCTGGAAGAGCTTCTGTATTCCAGTTTCCCGGAGCGAGCTGCGGAAGGCACGCGCGGCAAACACGTAAAGCACTGGATTGACTGAGCTACTGATGAATGTCAGGGCTCCTGCTATAAAGACCATTGTGCTGCAGGCGTCCTCCAAACTTTCTGCCATGTCGGGGCTTGAATGCTTGAGAGTGAGCGAGATGAGGGCAAGAAAGTTCCCTGTATGGTGAGGAATCCAGCAGAGAGCGAACATCACCACCACACTGCAGATGAGAACCGTCGACTTGCGCTTGGACTTGAAGTTCATCTGCGCTATGCGACTGAAGAGGCAGCCGTAACAGACCAACAGAGTGAAAAAAGGGATGACAAAGCCTATAAGAGATTCTAAAATGAGCAACACAGCCTCTTGGGCGTCAGTCTCGTACTCCCTGAACAGACATTGATTTTGTCCATGAACTTCTCCCAAAGTGTGAGTTACAATGACGGGAATATTGAGGAGAAATGAAGCCATCCATATCATTAGAAGTACCTTGTTCAGTGCTTGTCTCCTCCTCCAGACGAATGAGGCAAAGGGGTATCTGATGGCCAGGAAGCGCTCCACACTCATGGTGGTGATGATGAAGACGCTGCTGTACATGCAGGCATTGATGATGTACACCATGGCTTTGCAGGCTGCCTCTCCAAACACCCAGGAACGGGCCAGCGAGTAGATCCACAGCGGCAGAGTGATCAGCACCAGAAGATCTGCAGCTGCCAGGTGGAGGATGAGAAGCACCGTATGTGAACGCTGTTTCACATGCTTCAGGATGGTCCACACCACCAGCAGGTTCCCAGGTGTGCCCACTAGAAAACACACACCCAGGATCACACAGGCCCCCACCAAGCCCAGATCGGTCTCCTCATCTGCCTGAAAATAAGCTGTAGCGTTCATGATTCCCTCTCTGTCCACTCGAGTCTGCTATACATCTAACCACTGAATTAGAAAACCAGTTTGCCTCAGCAAAACTCACTTCCCGTTTGTGGAAAAACAGAACTCTCGAGTACAGAAAAGAAAAACATCTGAAGTGATTGTCTGCTAAAAACACAACCAAAAAGTATGTACGTTAGCACGGGAGGAGCATCACAACTGTGAATTTAGATGTAGAAAGCAGATGCAATTACAGTTTCTGTTTACACTTAAAAAATGTTGGCAATTTTGGTGAGTCAGTTTACCTCACTGTGCATTTTAACTAGGCCCATTTTAACACCACAGAACAAAATATGTTTGATTTTTTAAGGCCCTTCAGATATACAGCACTGGAGCAGAGAAATGCTCCAGCAGAATATTTTATTTTATATATATTTTTAATATATATTTTTTCACCTCTGTATTAAGTATAATAACAACTTGAATAATTAAAAAAAAACTATTATGGCATTTAAACAACTTTGACCAAAAAAAAGAAAGAAAATATAATGGGATTTAAACAACTTTGACCACAGATGTTTGAGATATTATGGCATTTAAACAAGTATTATCATTAAAACA